GAATAACTCACAACTATACCCATTATAGTTTTTCCGAAATTGTGTTCCATTTGGTGATAATGACTCGATAAAATACTAACTTTTCGTGTAAAGTAAGATGTTGATATCGAGTAATAATAATATAGAAGTTGTATTTAAATCTATATAAAGCGATATGTTTTCTTATATTGCACTTGTATCCCCCCCCCCCTAAAACATGAAAAGACGAGAAAAGTAGGGGTATGAACTCACTTGTTTGGTTTGAAGAGAGTGAGACTAGAATCGAGCAGAACTTCAACTGCAGAAAGCTGCGTCTTCGAGCTTCTCGGGGATCTCGGTAGCGTAGAACCTTCTTCGGGGCTCGGTTATGGAACCGAGGGTGTCGGGATGGCCTCTGGAGCTCACAAGTGAGTGAAAGTGAGAGAGAGTTTGAGAAAAGTGTGCCAAAACCCGGAGCTCATTCCCTTTATTTATAGGGTTGAAAGTGGGAGTACGCTAGGCGTAATATCGGAGTATGCTGGGCGTACTCGTTATGCTGGGCGTACTTCAGTTATGCTGGGCGTTCATATGCGTCATGGCTTACGACTCGGGTCTAGCTAAGCGTAGAGTCTGCTAGCCGATGGGACTCGACACTGAGCTTGAGTACGCTGGGCGTACTCTAAATTTACATTGGGCGTAATTCTTGTTTCAACCTTCTAAATTCCGTAACTTTCGCGTAAGAGCTCCGTTTTTTGCGTTCTTTATATCCACGCGTAGGTGAGACTATTCTCTACAACTTTCATTTAGACTCCATCGGCTAGTTTTGACTTTATTTTTAATATTATGTTTTTAGTAGGCCGGGACTGCTAAAGTCCGTTAAAAAAATCATAACTTCTTTATCCGACGTCTGTTTTCGTCTGTCTTTTTACCATCTTACTCCTGTAGTGGACACCTTCAATTCTCGTTTAGGTTGCTTTAGCTAAATATCGTTCGATCTTTAATTCGAGTTTTTAGCTCTCTACTGCTGTTACGAAACTTAAAAAATTTGTAACTTCTTCATACGAGGTTCAATTTGGGCGATCTTTTTATGCACGTTCATGGTTTAACAAAATCTATGACTTTTGTTTAGATACCTAAGGCTAAAATGCGTTTTATTGGAATTTCACTTTTTACGTTTAAAAATGTTTTACCGGGTGTGTCGTGAATATTTAAGTGGTCATAATCTTCTCATTATAACTTGGTTTTGAACATTCTTTATGTTTTTGGAAACCTTGGCACGGTATCTAACATTTGATGCATCCCAAATTTAGATTTTTGAACACTTAATTTTTGAGGTTAATTCCGTTGATTCTGATTAGTTCGTTGTATTTGACTTTTGAGTGTTACATTGATTTGAAGAAAAATATAGGGTTGTCGCAAGCAGTTACTTTTATTTCAATGTTATGTTTGCTTGTTGTTCGTTTTGTAGTTGTAGATCTTTTATTTTGTTGTCCAAAACATGAAATGAGGATTGGAATATGTGATTACTGATTCGGAAGGTATTCTTCTATTCCTTGTTGATTTTCTTGTTAATTCTTTTTTTTGTATGACAAATTTCTTTTTAGTTAATTGGATTAATACTGCTACTTCTATTTTTTTCTTCATATTTTTGCTTGCCTCAAGATTGGCTGGTGGAGTGGTGTGGCTCGTTCTAATGCTGAATAAAAAAAGGGATAATATTTGATATTATGGTGTTGCTATTTCCTCACTTCAGAACTTATATCACAGTTTTTGTATTGTTTTTTTTATGGTTTAGAAAAAACCAAGGGCATATTAGTTTATGTTACATCAGTCGAAGAATGATCATAAAAGTTAGTCTTTTGATTTTTTGCCTAAAAGAAGGTTTTGTTCTTTTGTATGTATCGTATCTAAATGAAAATATTACTTGTTATGTTCTATAGTTTCTTTTGTTGAAGTTGGAAAATGGTGCTAATAGACTTCATAGGAATTATTATATTGATATTTTCTTTTTCTATGAACACATATCGTTGTATTCTCCCTTAAATCCTGACTGGTTTCAACAACTTGGAGCTTAATTTGCTTTACAAAAGGAAATTTTTTTTATTCCAAAAGCAACTTGGATAATTAATTGTAGGAATTTTTAGTTGTCATTATGAATGTAATATAACCTTTGTGAGTTGATTAATTTTTGAATTGTTCTTTGTATATGTTTGTTTTCTACAATAAGCTCTCGTTGGAGATGGGTGGCAGTTACCAAATGTTCAAATAGCTACTCTTTATATGCTTGATATTTTTGCCGAAGCAAACCAAGATAAGGATCTAATATTTATTTTTCCATAGTTCCATTCTTTATATTCATCTTATTAGTTGCTTTTTTTTTTGCTTCGGAAACTGTATTGTACCTGTTCTATTTTTCATTGTACGATACAAATACGGGGCATTAATAATTTTTTCGCCCTGGGGATTGAAAACCTATGGACCGGCCCTGTATATGTAGTTGAGAATATCTCTACCTTGGGAAGGAAGGTATATCTTCTGGTACACTTGTCTTTGGAAGGAGTATATATGTGAAAACTGTTCATTGGGAAGCACCATAACATTGTACCTTTTGTCTTGGGATGGAGAAACCTGGTTAGCTGAGGCCAAACTTGAATGGCCGAGGCCAAACCTGATCGGTTGAGGCTAAACCTGATCGATTGAGGCTAAACCTGAAAGACCGAGGCTGAACCTGATTGGTTGAGGACGAACCTGAATGGCCAAGGCCGAAACTGATTAGCTAAGGACAAACCTGAATGGCCGAGGTCAAACCTGATTGGCTTAGGAAGAACCTGGTCGAGGCCGAACCTGATTGGTTGAACCATATTTGGCCAAATAATGTATGCCCAAACTTGGAAAAAGGCCTAATTAGATATATGCATCATCATGCAGCACCCTAGTGCAAGCCAAAAAACGTCCAAGATGACAACAACGATTCCAAGGATGACGAAACTCCAATCTTCACTAAAAAACTTCTATCTTCAATATCTTGCACTACAACTTTCATAAACTTGTTTTTGACATTTTTTACATAGTCTTTCCTCATTTTTTACTCTAAATAAAATCATACACATATCATTGAGTACGCCTATTCTTCACATACATTACGTCAGTTATACTTACAAAAACAAAGAATAAAATCAAGTAAAATTGATCGATTATTAATCACCAACACCAACATCAACATGATCTTGCTAGACCATGCTTCTTTCATCCTCCATGTTGGTGATTTTAGTGTCACCATGTCATTTTATGTAACTGGAACTAACATGTGAGCTAAGGGACTTCATAATTTGTACTTTAATATATCAAGTCCAGGGGCGAGGGGCAGCACCCTAAAAAGTCCCCGAATTTTACATATGAGAGCATAGTACGAAAATCGAATTCTTGAGGGTGGTTATGGTAAAACTGAGGAAATTCAACAATATGGAAAACCTTGATTTCCTCGTCAAATTCCGGATTTCCCTGACTTGCTTTCAAAGGAACCCATGATGGCCAACCCTAAGTGGCAAACTCTAATCTCGTTTATTATATAAACGACTATTCTCTTTGAGAAGCGAGATACAATGATTAACTCTCTTTTCTTCGCAAGAACATAGAATCCTTCTAGCAATTTGGCTTGTCCTCTTGGATTATCCTAGGCTAAATTTCTTGCAACCCAATCATAGGGTAGAAATATCAGTTCGGAAAGTGTTAACACGATCCAAAGGGTATCCAAATCTCCACCATAAACCCTAATACCTCCAACACTCCGAACATCTTAAGATTCCATAGGACGTCATGTGGATATAACAAAAGAACAACAAGGGCTAGAAGTAAAACTATAAAATCTTGAAATTCCTTTTGGAGGCCACATAGTGACATGGTGTAACGAGTCTCTTCTGGTAACAAATTTGGAAAAAAAAAATAAGTATGCTTTCAATGTAATCACAGACGGAGGTTCTAGTATAAGATAATGGCAAGCCGTAACCGATCCGAGAGAACTTTCTCTCCCTCTAAATTCACAAATTCCTTCATCTCGGTTCTCTCTAGCTCTCGGCATACCCTCCCTCTCTTGTTAGGGTTATGGTTCTTGCCATCAAGGAAAATAAGGATCAAGTCATCTTGCTTAGATCACTATCTTGGGGTGCTATTACAAGAGATGGGCTGCTATTTTGGACCATCGAATCATCCAAGTCACATCATGACATCAATGAAAGGTAATCCTTATGATCATCACTTTTAGTTTAGTTCTTGTTGCTTGAAATATAATGAACTTGTGATCCTCTTGTATTACGGTTTTGTTATGCTTCCGTTGCGTTTCTTTTATTTTAAAGAACCACTATAATCGAACACATACTACGGACCCCACGAAAATGCACAACTATACTAACATGTCCCTTTATCGTGTTGCTTTGATACCACTTGTCACATGTCACAGACTAAAGTTTTGACACTACTTCTTGCCCATTTAGTCTCACAAGGTCCTTCATAAAACCCCGAGACCAACCCTCCCAGATTCCATGTGCTAACTGACTCATCAGGGAAGCGAAACTAGTCACCGACCAATTGTGTCTAACCTGCTACGATCCACTTCATTATCAAGCTTTTCGGCGACTCGGACAGACAAAAATAACTAGACTAACAACGTCCATGGTGTATGGCGCCCTTTTTAATCCAATAAAAAACTAGTCCTATGACATGATCTTTGTCTTCATGGTCAACACGCTCACAAAATAATTGGCATGTGACAAAGTAGAGTTGATACTTGATAGCAAAACTAACTTTCTTGTATAGTCGATAAAATTTCCTTATGTTTAGGGGTGACGATTCTTGACACGACATGCGACACGCCAAACATTGAGTTTTCTTGACCAGTAAACCCTCTAATCCATTTCTTTTACCAGTTATTAGATAAAAAAATGTTACATAAATGAGATAGTAATGACTAATAAGTAAATATGTGATATTTTGACTTTTTCTCATGACCCACAAGCTTAAATCCCACACACAAACCCGAATATAACTTACGAACCCAACTCTGAACCCAAGACAAGCAGCTCCAATCTTCTTCCAATAACAAGCTTTTCAACACTTTTGTCATTGCTCATTTGACAACCGATTCGAAAAACACATCTATCCGTGCCATGACAAGCAGCTCGAATCTTCTTCCCTTAATTGCAAGAAACAAAATGTCTTATGGAAGCGTCTCACCTATTCGAGGTCTTCGATTGATTCTTATTGTATCTCCTTGTTCCCAGATCTGCAATTTGACTCTTCCTACAACTAACCGAACCAAATTCCAATTGTTTTTATCATTGATTGCATATTAGTCTCCAAGGAATCGATTTTGATTGAAAGATACTCATTGTGCTTTCTAATTCCTCCATACGGTTTGCTACTGAACCTGTTCCTGTGGGATATCACAATGCTTTGATACAATTGATAAGTATGGATAGAATCATAGAAAGTGAGAAGAATAACAGAGAAATTGAGGAGAAAATAGCATAATAGTGAATGATTTCCAACTAATTGAGAGGTTGGGCACTCCAGGTACAGAACATGATTTCAAGAATGCCCTAGTTCTAACCTCTTACTACTCTATTTGTAATGGATCACCAACGTAAGTGACAACTACTTTCCTCCTCGAACAACTAACTGAGCCCTAAACAACTTAACAAATTTGTTTTTGACTTTTCCAATGCCATCTACAATGTTTAACTTCAGGCTCTGATTTGAGTTTGACTAGCTGAATAATTTGATTTTTTCTTTCTTGCATACTTCTTTAGTATAGGATGATTCCTAACCATTTTCACCTTCGATGACATGGCTATGGTTTCTGGAAATTTTTTAAGCTTATCGCAGTGGCTCAGATCAATGTGGACAAGTTTATCACATTTCTCAATCGATTCACAAATCTTAAGCAAGCTACCACATTTATTAAGCATCAACCTCTCAAGTGCAGGGAAATCTTCGAAGCCAACCACACTACAAAGCATATCACAGAAACTTAAATTAAGAATCTTAAGTGACCCAAGCAACTTTTTGTCTTTTGAGCATGATCCAGTCAACTGCTAAAATGAAGATAAATTAGTTTAATAGCTAGCAGTGAATTTCATCAACTCAACATGTATGAATGATACATGGATATAAGTTACCCTTTGCCTCTTCTGAGGTTGTGAATCACAATAAGAAACACCAAATGATGTGATATTGCTATATGACATGTCGAGAGCAACAAGATACTTCATCGGTAAGTTTGAAGGTATATAGTCCAAAGGAAACACATGCATACACAACCATCTTAATTGTTTTGGAAAGTTCTCGTAAGACCCATTCATTTGCACACAATTGAGTTGTAGTAGCTTCAACTCATCCATCTTCCTCAAAGCTTCTGTTTCAAGTGGCTCATTGATCTCAAGTCTTCTTATGTCAAGGCTGAGGCCCAGAACCTTTCTCGTACCCTAAGAAAAAACATATGCAAGGAAATTTTACATACATGTATATAGACAATACAAAATACTTTGAATAAGTATACATGGTGACTTACCTTTTTTTCTTTCAACACTTTGAATGACTCCTCATGACACCATAACCGACTTCGCTTCCATGCCTTGTCAGGTGATTCTTGACGTACTATGTGTCTTCCCATTTCTTGAAGCAACTGATGCATCACTAATTCGTTATTCCATCCAACACTAAGAAGGCAATTGTCCATGAGATCAGTGATCCCAGAGTTTGCTCTTATTTTACATGCCTTTAATATTGTTTCAGTATAAACTCTATCTGTTCCGACAAAAAAACAAGCAATATGCTTGAACAATTCCTTATCATTGTCCGATGGCAAAGAGTCAAAGCTCTTCCTCAATTCATTCTCTACAGGGTCTTTCCCTAGCCCTTCTATGCGATCTTCCCAATAAGCCACATCTTGTCTGTTATACAAAGACATGCCCAAAACTTCAAGAGTTAATCGATGTCCTCTGCAATAATTCACAAACTTTTCTGACATCTCTCCATAACCTTTCTTCGGATCCTTGGACTTGAACGCATGAGAACAAAAAAGTTCTAGTGCTTCGGTGTCATCTAAGCCTTCAAGCTTGTGCTTTTCATGTGTGGGTTTAACTTCCGTCTTGAATAAGTCACAACTCTCTGTCAACCATGTATTCCTTGTCGTTATTATGATTTTGCTTCCTTGATAAAACCCTTTTCTTCCAAGTAATGCATTTAACTGATCCAGAGTATTAATATCATCAAGAACAAGGAACACCTTTTCGTTTGCTACTATATTCTCTATCTTTGAAGTGTATTTGGAAACATCATAATCTTGAGTTGAACTTCCTTTTGAAATGCAACCATAGAGTTCTGCTGCTATATCACGCAACCCATACAATTTGTCATCGCATCTCCTATCGATGTCTTTAATAAAGCTGCTTGTGACAAATTCATAACAATGTAACCCATGGACATATTGGGCTAAAGATGTCTTCCCAATCCCACGCATACCAAAAATAGTGAGTACGTCTCCCCTATCTGAGGGTTCTTTTTTCAGCCATGATGTAACAAAATTAATGGAATCTTTCATCCCAATAGGTTCTGGCAATGCACTTCTAGAGGGTACATGTAATCTGTAGTTGAGGTCATCAACAATCTTTTTAATGAACACCGTCTCATACCTGAAATTTGAATGTAATAAAAGCTACAAAACACACTCCAGAAAACTAACAAACCAAATCAGAGATATAATGTATTGAAACTATATTATACTAAGCTCTCCAGTCTCCACATAAAAAATACATCATATTTGCACTTCTCACACTACAAGTATCTAATGTGTAACACCATATTTCATTTTGTTTCTAGAAGACCATCAAACTCAACTATTTACAAGTAAGAGCAAATTGTTTGTTGAAAAATAAAAGGTGCTATCCCCACCGCACCTTGCGGTGGGGATACAACGTACACCCATAGCCTTATGGGTAAAAATCAAAGTTCATTGCCTATCTTGGTAAAAAAAAAAGTTAAGTAATTTGTCCAAGAATAAGTGCATAACATGTTCAAAATCGAAAGTGATGTCCACCTTAGCTGGATTGATGAGTTGAGATTTATACCCATGTCATGTCGATTCCCTTAAATCACTTCTTTAGGTGTTCCATGTGGTGGAATTTTCCCCTAGAAATCCCTTGGGTTTCAAATTTGCCCAGTAAAGAGCTCAAACTTCGGTCTCTACTGTATCAGGTGGAGGGGCTACCGCTTAACCGTTTGCCGAAAAAAAAAAAAAAAAAAAAAAAAAAAAAGAAACTGCCAAAAAATTCAGGATGCATAATCTATTTATGTGAATTAATTTGAAATCAAATAATCCAAATCTTAAATTATATTTAATGCATCCTCTTTATCCAGTTAAAAACTTAAAATACATTGAGTTTATGTTTATATGACAATACTGAAAGAAACTTCCAGAAATGCCTAAAGAGAAAGAAAATATTGACATTTTGTGTGTTAATCAAACAATGGTTAAGGAGTATGAAAATATAGGTAAGAAAGTGGTTACCATCCCCGTACGTCCTCCCCTTTTAAATTAGCAACTTGTTTAAGCGCATCAATCCATCCTTTAATCCTTTGAGCAGACTGAGTTCTTTCATCTGCATCTTTCTCTGCTTTCATCTGTCGTGTGTGCTCAGCAATTGCATCTCCAAAGGTACTTTCTTGCTTTCTGACATGGGTGGGCTCAACATGATAAAAGATAGGGATAACAATTTGGTTGGGTTGTTTAAGGATCAGAACCAATTCATCAAGGCACCATGATGAACTAGCGTAGTTCTTGGACAAGACAATAATAGAAGCCCTAGATGATTTAATCGCATTCACCAATTCTGGTTTCAGAACTTTTCCCGTATCAATCTTTTCTTCATCTAAAAAGGTAGAGATATTGGCATGCTGGAGGGTCTTATTGAGATGATCAATGAAGTTCCTACGAGTATCTTCACCTCGAAAACTTATAAATACGTCATGTTTGTGATTATTAATGGATGAAGAAGATGATCCTTCAGAAAAGGGAACATCCATTATGGGTGATGGGAAGGTATGAGCAATTTGAGACTAGATCTACAATAACATATCGAACAGATGAAGAAGATGATCCTTCAGAAAGGGAACATCCATTATAGTGGCCTTTCTCAGGAAGTCGAAGTCAACGACTGCTTTTTGATAAAAGATATACTTTGTGAATTTACCTGGAAACTTAAAATACGTTAAAGAATTGAAATAATCGATCTCTAAGAAAGTGGTCCAGGTACTTCGCTGGCTTTGAGGGTTTCAACTTTCAACATGCCTGTAAACATTAGCATTTGTGAGGTTTGATTGATTTATTTAGGGACCATTTATTTACAAATGTTATATGACATTATCATATATTTTAGAACATTTTGTAAAGAAATAGTTTTACCAAAAAACACAAACTTCCAACATTTGGTTTAGTTCATGGATCTAATGTTTCGTTCTACAAACACATAAATAAACTTTACATTGTTCACATGAATTATGTCTATCATTTTTTTAAGTCAATTTCTCGGATATGAAAATAGAATATAAAAGTATTTGAATCTTTTTCAGATCCATGGATCTGAAATAAGTATTATATTATAGTAAATACTAAATTACAAAATTGCGTGATTTATCAATTTTTATGGATAAGGTACAGTGCTTTTAGGTTTTTACATTTTTCATTCATGTTTGATATCTTTTTTACTATTTAATCCATACGAGAATGTTTGATAATCATATGAATCCATATACGTTTAATTAATAGCCATTTTAATGGTTATTTTGTAATCTAATAAAAAGAAGTCAATACATAGGAAGTTAAACGGGCAACAAACTGTGTCATTAGGTTTTTTTGGATGGCAAAACTAATTTATTTTTAAGACAACGTCTATAGATCTAGGGGACATTACATTATTATGCATGATCTGTTAGACTCTATTGAGGAGTTTCACTGTCTCTGACGCAAAAAAACTAAAAATATCAAATACAAAAGATATGAACACGTGTTGATTTTCAATGCATACATTCTCGTATTTGGTCATAGCCATTTTGTTAAATCTTCAGAGGGCATTCACCAAATTTTTTTTTTTTTGTGTTAAATTGGTGTAAAGTTTCTAATTTCATTTTATTATTTTAATATAAACTAGGGGGTATGCCCACACTCCGCGTGGGGTAGAGGATGTTGTTTTAGTTTCATATGTGTGCTTCTGTTAATTTTTCCGGTATAGGTCTACTGAAGTTGTTTTCGTTTATCCTAGTGTATAAAACCAAACAAATAAATTAGTTTTCATCCGATTACACCATTATACTTTAAAAATCTACCTAATAATGAAATTTCTTTGCTTAACAATCGAAAAATAGTTTGAAAGACTGCCACTTCACCTTACCTATTCTAAGAATAAGAAAGTAGTGTAATTTTTAAATACGTTGTGTACACAATCCTTGAAGGATAGGGCAAGTATCATTGCTATTAAAGTAGCCAAAAATCAGCAGAAATGAAGTAAATTGCTATTAAAGCAGCAAAAAAAATGATAGCTTTATACTAAACCAAAGTACATTGCTATAAATGCATTACATTAAGATAAGTACAAAATGACATTTATGTTTGCACACCCATATTGGATTTTTTTTAGATTTATCCTTTTTAATCTGTTAATGACATATCACAAGTTCGATCAACACAAAGACATTTTGAATCCACACATGAACTAGGAAAGTAAAAGGAAATATAAGATGCCTTCAACCTTCAGCTAAAATGTATTTTCTTGATTTACCGACATAATTTTACTTCTGAACAACTCCAGTTGAAACACAGGTTTTGACAAATGCAACAACCTGAAAAACAAAATTATATATAACAAATTCATCGCCTAATAAATAAATTGTCTTTTAACACTTATATAAAACAATAAAACACTAAAACCAAACCAATTATCTCACATCTTTCATAGTTTTCAAGACCAACTATCGGAGTTTTTTTTTTTTTTTTTGCCTTAATGCAAAGTAAATCAGGGAAATGAGGCTTTTCCCATTACGTCCTACCATTTTACTAATTCTCCCTCATTTAATTTTAAACATGGTTTATCCAAAAAAAAAATAGAAAAATAAAAAAGAAAAACTTACTAGCAATATACTGACAAAACGATGAGACTGAAGCAGCAACCTCATTGTAATGCAGGTGCAGTAGCTTCAACCAACAAAATTCTAAGTGTCATAGGTATAGCCTCATCAGTAGCATGTAATTTTGCATCCTATTAACATATGAAACTGTAAGAGCTATTTGAGCACTCCTTTGAAAATTGGAGGCAAATCCTACGCTTCAAGGTTTCATATCAAATTTGATCCTTGGAATTTCTAATTTTGGTCTTTATTTCAACATTCATTCAGATAAGTAATTACTGGATTGAAAAAACATAAGATAATAGTTAAACTAAAGATTAAAAATATTAATAATTCGAGATGAAATTTAAATGCTATATTAGACCTACAAATGAAAGTATATTGCTATTTGTTGCGCTTTGCCTGTAATTTGACTAAATATTGTGGCAACTTACTTTCATTTTTAACTTTCGACTTTATACATTTTGTTTTTGTTGCTTTATTATTGAAGCACTCTAGTCTTAAAATATGCTATAAATGAATCATTAAGACAGTAGAAAATTTTCAATCAATATAAAAAACTAAAAGGTTGTGGCAAGAACAAACAAACTTAAAACTAAAAGACCTACTTATCACAACTTAAAAATAACTTTTTTATTGATGTCAATGTTGATGTTCAAATACTTTCTTTGAGTTTCATTCATAATATTATCTACAACAACAAAAAGTTATAGGAATATCATAAACCCGACTCATGAACATAAACAATCTATTAAGTAACTATTGTAAAAAACTATTGTTTTCATGTTTTATAAAAGAAAAGCATAACATAACTTCTGTAGAGGTAGCATGAGAATAAATGAAAGTGATGATTCCTACTGCTATATGAATGTTTTTGAACTCTGGTTTTGAATTTCTTCAAGTAAGATGTTGGAATCAAACCTAACCATGGCAATTTTTCCAAAAAGATCATCTTTTTTAAGCTCAATAAGACGTTTAACGTGCGGAAGTGCATTGACTTTGTTTCCATCATCTTCTTGGACCTGAAACTAACAACTTTAAAATGAAAATAAGATGTAGTGATTTTCATTAATTATGAACTTTTGTTGTTGGGATGAAGAAGAGAGTAAAAACGATGGTGTTTAAAATTTGAGATGGTAGATATTTGTCTATCAATTCCATCATCAGACTAAGTATTACGTGGCTATCAGTTCTATCATTAGACTAAGTACTACGAACATAATGACATTGGCAACAACAAAATCGATACCAATTTCGCAATTGAAAAGCCCTGCATTTAGTCAAAATGTAGTTTTTTCTTTAACGGGGGAGCAATAATAACATTTGAAGGAGCATGAAATGGAAATTACCTTGTTCGCACATCTATTAAATATATGATTCAATCCCACCTCCGAAATATTTGTTGAAAAGTTGATTTTACCAATATAATGAGAATATATGCAAAATTTTAACTGAAAAGAAACAATAAATAATCAAGAAATTGAAACATTGGGGTGAAGGAATCTGAAAGTGTAAATGTGTAACCTTGTACATTGTAATGAAGATTTAGTCGCGCCTTTTTTCTTGAATGTCCGGCAAAGCAATAAAAAAGTTACCTGCAAGAAGAATCGCAAAGCAGAAGAGATGAGTCTAGCGGTTCCAATTTGTATAGTAGTGGCGATATGATTAGTATTAACTGACCAACTCACAACAACCAATTCCCTTCAAATGAAACCAAATCTTGCTTATAACCCAAAAATCTAAAAACCCAAGTCAAGTAAATTAAAAACAATTGTAACAATCCAAACCAGATATGACTTTGAAACCCTTGAGGAAATTCAATTTTAAGCATATTAGTTCGTTAAGTACGCTGGGATTACTTATGAGTACGCTTAGCGTACTACGCATGGGTGATCGCGGAGGGGCAGCACGTACGCTGGACGTACCAGAAGTACGTTGGGCGTACGTGCCGGATGTCCGAACCCTAATTTTCGGACTTGTGACCTATATAAACACCCTTAACTCATTTGAGCCTCACCCTCATCAGCCCCTTTCATCTTCAAACGACTTTGAAAACCCTAATACCATTTGTGAAGAGTGCATATGTGGTCCTTATAGTGTTCATTCAAGAAGAATAAGTTGTCAAGGGAGCTTGGAGTGTCATTTGGCTTCAAGAATCTGCATATAGTCGACCTTGAGGAGCTTCTGGAGGTATAAAGCTTGCACCTTTCCACTTAAATCACTAGATCTAGCTAGGGTTTTCTAGTTTTGTCCTTTTGGTTGATTTTGGATCTCCTCTTGTGAGTTAAGCAACTCTAGAGGATGGAAATGACAGATTTGAGGTCCCTTGGTCCTTTTGCAACATAAAAATGGAGTCTTGGTGGGTGTTTTGACCTCATGCATGGGTTAAGAACCTTGAAAAGGTCTTAATAGGGGTGTTGGGAGCATATGAGACATGCAAAGGCATAAAGTTGACAACTTTATGCCCTAGGTTGTCTTAATAAGCCTAGATCTGACTTTTGGACGTAAAGGAATCGAGTATTAAGCACTTAATGGAGAAAGTGCTTAATCTGTTAGTACGCTCGGCGTAACATAGCGTACGTTGCGTGTAAGTCCCAGAGACCCAGTATGTTGCGCGTACCAGGGTGGTACGCTAAGCGTACGTATCACAGATAGGCTTGGATCTATTTTGGTCCTTTGAGCTGTTGGGCATCATTTGGTTATTGGACTTGGTTGCGTTGTCGGAATAGTAGGCCATTTTATCTGTTTTGGGCCATTGATGTTATGGTACGGCCTTATTAGGGCAAGAGGCCCATTATTGATTTTTGGACATAGACTTTGGGCCCATTAACAAAGAAAGGACTTTTGGGCCTTTATGAAAGGACTTGGGGTTTTGGTTTCCCTTTGATTATGTGATGTCCTGACATTGGTTAATATTATTATTCAATACAGGAGGTTACAGACAATTAGGAGAGCAGTTTTTGGATTCTTCGGACAGAGGTGAGTCTCCTTACCATACCAATGGTTCGAAGGCACCAAGGCCGACCTATTAATTGTTATATATATGCTATTTGGATTATGTGATATGCAATGTACTAGTTGTTTCTATGTGTCTTGTATGGAAGACCTCGGGGGGTTCCCGAGACACTTAGGTATAAGACCGTGGAGGGTTTCCATGGCATCCTAGGTCAAAGACCTCGGGGGGTCCCAAGGCAATTAGGTGCAAGACCTTGGAGGGTTTCCCTGGCATCCTAGGTCAAAGACCTCGGGGGGTCCTGAGGCATTGGGCTAAGACCATGCGGGGGTTCCCATGGCACCTGGAGTAAGACCCTGGAGGGTTT